GATCTTCCCGGGTAGGTGATCGGCTTCCCGCGGGAAGACGATCCGGGTTCCCGCTTCCGTGCCGGGCTCTACTTTTACGACGAGGAGTTTCTTCTCCGTTCTGGAGGTTCCGGCGTCGTCCGTCGCCCGGCGGGAGACGAAGAAGCGTTTTTCGCAGCCGCGGTTCACGTCCGAGAGGGAGACGGGGAGGTCGTGCTGCACGGCCGGGGATTCGCTTTCGTCGTCGGGGTCCGTGCTGCTGCGTCGAGCGGCCGCGTTGGGTCCCGCGTCGCGGAAGAGTCCTTCAAAGGGGTTACGATCGGAAGTCCCGAAGGGGTTGCGATCGGAAGCCCCGAAGAGTCCGGTGAAGGTGGCTCGAGGATCGCGCGGAGGCGCGCGAAACGCTCCATCGACGCCGGACCCTCCGACGTCGGATCCGCTCTTCCTCTTTCGATCGTAGTCCTTCCGTTCGGCCTTGTCGCTCAGCACCTCGTAGGCTTCGGCCAAGTCTTTGAATCTCTCCTCTGCCTCCGGGGAATCGTTCTTGTCGGGGTGGTACCTGAGGGCCAGCCTCCTGTAGGCCTACTTGATGTCTTCGTCGGTGGCGACTGGACCGACGTTCAATATCTCGTAGTAGTTCTTGGTGTAAGTCTTTCCCACGCTGACCCCCATCCTTCGTCTTTGAAGGTATCGAGAGAGTCACGTTCGGCACCGGTCTACCTACTTCGATTGCATCTACGTTTGTCCGGGTTTTGTAAAACGGTGTCGCTCGCTTACTTTCTCGACGCCTCGAAGAGGATCTAATCGACGGTAGAACGACCTCGTGAACGTGGCGAGCACAAAAGCGTAAAATCGATGGCGCCTCGGTCTTCATCGCTCGGTGACTATATCGAGTAAGGAATGTCGCCCCAGTAACGCTCCGATACTGATGCCGATACTCAGGCGCTGATACGGCGAGAGAGGGAGAGAGAAGGAAAGACAGAAGGAAAAAGAGAGACAAGGGATGACGTATGAAGGAACGACGATGAGCCTCCCCGCATGGGTAAGCATGTCCACGTCCATCGATCCTCCTAACTGCTGCATTTTCCGCTTCCCTTCTTCGGAGACGGGTCTGCACGAATTCCTCTGCGAGAGAAACTAGCGCTGAAAGTCTAGGAAGTGTCTGAGATGCGGGAGTCCACGACCTTATCGTCTCATATCATCCTATTCCTCTCTCTCCCCCTCCTTTTATATATTATATCTTCCTTGCTGTCAATAGGTTCAATAGGGCGTCTTTCCATTTGAGCATGCTTGCTGTCTGGGTGGATATGGATTTGATTCATGATGGTCAGAGGCACATGACTCGTGTTGTACGGTAAAACCGAACTGGGCGTTCGCGTCAGAGAAGATCTCACCTCGGCTAACT